GAGATACAAATTAAATATGACTAAATCTTAAATCATCAGTCGTCGTAAGTAATAACGAGATACGGATATCGTTATTACGGATAGACCATCACGTGCAGCATTATGTGGTAACACTTAAATAAACACGTTGATGTTTTGTTATAGAACAAAATATTGGAGACCCGCTGAGGAGATTTTACACGGATAACTATCTGAATGTCAGTTGTTAATCTCTAATGTTCGATAGTGGAATTGGTCAATTGACTTAGAGTTATCATAGTACCTTATATGAGGACGGTCATACTTTGGTGATATTGGATGTTACTCTGCCAAATGTCGCTAATATGGTATCGTTCGAGTATGTCAAGAATCATATGAATGTTGTGAATGATTAATAGAAGATTTGTCACTCTTAAATAGTAAGAGATTATGATCGACATTTCATTCAATTAAGTTAATAACGAAATACATGGCTAAGGTGTACTCATAAGTCAAAAATGAGTTTTTGACTCACATTGACTTAATAGTTGGATGAAAGATATGATCGATAATTGAGATTAACACATATCTATATCTCGTAATTGATCGATCATATTGACGAAGGGATTATAGTTTTACGGTAAACGAAGAAGTTTGATTTTATCATATCACGTGATATTTTTTGTCATATGTATTGTCCTAATACATTGTTAGATGTCAATTTGGGACGACGAATGTGAATTAATGATAAATTTAAAAAATTGGTATTTTAATTTATCAATTTTGATTAAATCAAAATAGTAATTCACGCCGTTAGACATTGTGGTCGGAAACCTGATGTGTCACACACAAAAAGAGAACTAAAAGAATAAAATTCACCAATTAATTAATTAACAAGTGTTATACAGTTAATTTATCGGGTTGCTTGTTAATAGACCTGAATTAAATAATTGGATCAATTAATTAATGGACTAAATTTAATTAATTGGATTACTAAGTCATTATGGTTTTAGAAAAATAGAACAGACCACAATTCATTATCTTGCTAGCACAAGAAAAGAGAAACTCTAATTTTCTCCCATCCTTGTTCCATGTGTGAATTTTCATTAGAAGTTGGACAATTGGATAGCTGTGAATTGCAGATTGTGATTGTTTATGTTCCAAGACCAGTAAAGGAGTTTGCAGAGTTTATCAAATGTATTATTCTAAACACAGTTTTTATCTAAACACAAATGAGATCCGTGGTAGAAATTGAAAAAAAAATTTATTTTTCGCTATGTATAATTAAATAAATTCTCAACAATCATATCACCTGTGAACATTATAAACTCCTGTCCTGAGATCATCTCTAGTAAAAATGTTTAGACTATTTTATGTTAATTTTGACACCCAAATATTGTATAAATGTAACATCCTAAAAATTCTGGTTCCTCGAAAAACTAGTAAAATGTATACAATAACTTAAAAGCATTGGACCACTTAAGGTAAAAAATTCACTTTGCCATTTCCATAAGTAAGATTTTGACTCTTAATAACCCTAAAATAGGGAATCTCATTGATTTCTTTCATCAATATTTTTATCCACAAAGGATGGTAAAAACATCGGAGCTATTCTTCTGCTTCTAGTGGGTAGGATAAAGTTTATCAACTACTGATATGACAACACCATGCCAAGAAGTCAAAGCCGCAATTTTTGTCAAGTTAAAAAAAAAAAAAAATTGGTTGACTCGTTGACGTGACCCTACCATTGTAAGTGTAATGCTCCCTCGTCCAATCAACTTTGGACATAAACACTTTTAATATATAATTGATACATATTTATGGTATTATTTAATTGAATTAATATTTTAATAAATTAAATAATAGAATCCGTAGATTCAAATCTTTATAATTTGTTAATTACAAGAAATTGTGATTGTGAGATACAAATTAAATATGACTAAATCTTAAATCATCAATCGTCGTAAGTAATAACGAGAAACAGATATCGTTATTACGGATAGACCATCACGTGCGGCATTATGTGGTAATACTTAAATAAACACGTGGATGTTTTGTTATAGAACAAAATATTGGAGACTCGCTGGGGAGATTTCACACGGATAACTATATGAATGTCAGTTGTTAATCTCTAATGTTCGATAGTGGAATTGGTCAATTGACTTAGAGTCATTATAGTACCTTATATGAGGACAGTCATACTTTGGTGATATTGGATGTTACTCTGCCAAATGTCGCTAATATGGTATCGTTCGAGTATGTCAAGAATCATATGAATGTTGTGAATGATTAATAGAAGATTCGTCAATCTTAAATAGTAAGAAATTATGATCTACATTTCATTCAGTTAAGTTAATAACGAAATACATGACTAAGGTGTACTCATAAGTCAAAAATGAGTTTTCGACTCACATTGACTTAATAGTTGAATGAAAGATATGATCGATAATTGAGATTAACACATATCTATATCTCGTAATTGATCTGATCATATTGGCGAAGGGATTATAGTTTCACGGTAAACGAACAAGTTTGATTTTATCATATCACGTGATATTTTTCGTCATATGTATTGTCCTAATTGTTAGATGTCAATTTGGGACGACGAATGTGAATTAATGATAAATTTAAAAAATTGGTATTTTAATTTATCAATTTTGTTTAGATCAAAATAGTAATTCACGTCGTTAGACATTGTGATCGGAAACATGATGAGTCACACACAAAAAGATAACCAAAAGAATGAAATTCACCAATTAATTAATTAACAAGTGTTATACAGTTAATTTATCGGGTTGCTTGTTCATAGACCCGAATTAAATAATTGGATCAATTAATTAATGGACTAAATTTAATTAATTGGATTACTAAGTCATTATGGTTTTAGAAAAATAGAACAGAACACAATTCATTATCTTGTTAGCACAAGAAAAGAGAAACTCTAATTTTTTCCAATTCTTGTTCCATGTGTGAATTTTCATTAGAAGTTGGACAATTGGATAGCTGTAAATTGCAGATTGTGATTGTTTATGTTCCAAAACCAGTAAAGGAGTTTGCAGAGTTTATCAAATGTATTATTCTAAACACAGTTTTTATCTAAACACAAATGAGATCCGTGGTAGAAATTGAAAAAATAATTTATTTTTCGCTATGTATAATTAAGTAAATTCTCAACAATCATATCAACTGTGAACATTATAAACTCCTGTCCTGAGATCATCTCTAGTAAAAATGTTTAGACTATTTTATGTTAATTTTGACACCCAAATATTGTATAAATGTAACATCCTAAAAATTCTGGTTCCTCGAAAAACGAGTAAAATGTATACCATAACTTAAAAGCATTGGACCACTTAAGGTAACATGTCGACGGAAGACTCTCGAAACTTAGTACCTAAACACATTACAATAATGTAAACCTAGAAGTCAAGAAAGAACAAAGAAGAAACCAAAAAGAATACGACTATAAAAATATACTGTATGATTCTTGACTCTCGGCACTGCTAATCATCAGTCTTAATCTTCACAAATTTAAGTATAAAAATGATTTTCCAATATTATAATTCCTCAAGACAGAAGGCTGACAACAATTTTTATAATAATTGAATTAAAATAATCAAAATAAACAAAAATAGAAAGGTAAACCGTCTATAATATAATCGATGATGACGTCCCGGATGATGCAATTGTGCAAATAATTTTTTTAATAAATATTAAATTCCAACTAGAATATCAAATGGGATTATGGGGCTGGATACACAATCAATTTTATATATTAGGATAGATTAAAATAAGCACATTATTGGGATAGCAAATCCCTTTTGCTGTTTTTAAGGATTAATTAGTAGAGAAATGAATTCTTAGGCAAAATCAAATTTTATTCGTTATACTATCCAATCATATTTAATACTGCAAATATAGTCGACATGCTTAATTTTAAGAGAAACATGAATTTTCACTTTCGTAACATCGTGGTTTTAGGGTATAGGTTGAGTCATTCTCGTAAATGATGACATATTTGGTAAGATAGATGGCACAATACTTTACAATATTAATGAAGAAAGTAAAGCTAACTTAATTCGCTATACTATTCATCCATATCTAAAATTGCTTGTCGAACGTGCTTGAATAGTGCTAGAAATCTAACCTTAAGACCTTGGAGACTTTAGGGTACAATTAAGTCCCCTTTCATCGCAATGGGTTAAGGCCCTGTTGTACAACGATGATTGGTTTGGTATGACAAATAGTATTACTTTGACTGTATTAACGACGGGAAAAAGCTAACTTGTTCATAATTATACTATTCACTCATTGCAATACCTAGGTTAAGTCATTGTCGTCTAATGTCCGGAGAGATGGATACAAGAATTAATAGAGAAAAAGAAAAATTAAAATTTTGTATGTAACGCTGACTGATCATATCTAGAACATGAAACGTGCTTGAATAGTACTAGAGATTTTCACTTTTGAGGTGTCCTTCAAGTTCGAGGCTTTAGAGCATATGTTGAGTCCCTCTCGTCATAATAGCCATGTCTGGCTGCTTTACCTCATGGGAACTGATTTAAAGGATTTACTTTTTACTTTTTCTCTATTTTCTGGTGCAAATTCAATGCAAGAGTAGACATTAATTATGAATGTAGTTTAAATAAAACAATTGAGTAATGATGAAACATAGGTTCGATAAATTTGAAGTTGGTTTACATTAAACATATACTCTAAACTTATAACATATAAGTAATTAAAAGAGCAACATTAATTTTCCAGAAAAGTTGGGGCTTCTATATAAATTCTCCATACTTTTTGCTCAATGCTACAAATGGTCCCTGCTAGTTACACTGAGCACAAAAAATGCTCAAAGCATGGAACTTTACAAAACTTGCTCCAAAAATGGAGATCTTAGAACGTCGTATAGCATAAAGAAGGCCGGTGTAGTTTCTGCAGCCGATTATCAGCCACGGGAATCCTGATGATGCTGCTAATAATCAAGGAGAATTTGTTTGTGATCAATGATATCTTTCATAGAAAGAGAAAGCTATCTTCCATCAGCTCCAAATACTGCCTCCATTGCTGCTGCTCGGAAACTGGATTGCAATTTTTCAAATTAATGTTGCAAAAGCTAAAAATTTGCTTACTGATACCAGGATCAGGAATTAAGGGTTTACTTGATAGTTTTGTGAGCTGATCGTTGATGAAAACATCTGAAGCATATGGGGTTCCTTAGCTTTCACAAGTTGCCCATATCTATGCATTTCATTAACCTTCATTGAGCCTGGAGAATATAGGTGTGTTTGGCTTAGGAGCTGTATGGTATCTGTTTCATTAAATACGTCACTTCTCCGCACATCATGGTCAATTGGACTCACTTGGTGCTGGACAACAAGAAACGTATAATCAACACAAGAAAATCAAGAAACCACAAGTTGAAGATATTCAATATTATTGAATTAACAAGGCATTGATGCCTTGGCTATATACCTCCGGCATCAGTCCCTGACGTTGCCATTCAAGTTCAAATTGCAGGGATGGAGAATGTTGGTCTCCAGCACGATGAGTGTCATCCACAAATTCTCGACTGCTTGGTTTTGAGGCCGAATTTCCCAAACTCAAGTCAAGATTGTGCTCAGATGCATTACTAGAAGAATCTGTCATGCACAAAATTTTTCCACATCTCAAATCAATTCAAGATTTTACAGCAGCGCACGTGCACACACAGACACACACACAACAATAATAACTACTTGCTCTTTCATTTCACCTGCAGCTTTAAGTTCTTCATAAATGCTGGGATCAAAATTGGTTACAGCTTCCTTTCCATTACTCTTGATGGCAGCTATATCATAAGCCCTAATTTGGTGACAAAAGATCATTAATCCCATCAAATTAAGTTAGATTTAACCCTTTTGGCATGTTTCATATGCCGGACTAAACAGAGATTATAGGGGGGAAAAAAAGTTAAAATCTCATTTCCTATACAGTAGTGTCCGGTACTGTCAGTTGAAGGTAGAATGCAAGCAGAAATTAATAGAGAGTATCTAAAACACACAAACCTGGCAGCTTCAACTTCGGTATCAAATAGACCCAAATAAACGTACCTGTTAACACATAAGAGCAATTGAAATTATATATCAAAAATTACAACTAGAAAAAACGCACAAAAAGAGTTTAAATTTAAAAGAAATGGGGGACCAACACACACAGAGACAGTGTGATTACTTTTTGCCTAAGAACTGGCCCATTCTGGCTTCCCATCTACCACATTTATGCAAAGTAACACCTCTATACTTGGAACTTCCTCTTGGAAAACCGGTGCTTTGTCGTCGAAGTACATGAACAAATTCTTCCTTCGTTAGATTTCTCATCTGAAATACAACATAGGACATTATGTTTCCCCTCGAAAAACAATATATTTTTCCTTTTCCGTGTCCAAAAAAACCTCAAAATTTATATCGCTAAATCAAGAATACAAACTCTTAAAGATAACATAAAAACTAGTTGAAAACAAAGAAGACTCTAATGGTATATTTGATAGCAAAGAATAAAAATAAGCTAAAATCTTATTCGTTATACAGTCGAGTCCTAAGTCTCTCCTGGATTAAACTACCTGTTTTAAGTCTTCCTCGTAGTCATCCAAACTGAAGTTTATGTCTGCTTCTACTCCACGAAACTTAATAGCTGCCCTATCGTATGCACTGTCACGCATTTATTTCTAAACATTAGTCTCTGAACTTTTTCAATTCAATCAAGAATCAGTAAGGAATCCGAATTAATCTTACCGGGCTGCAGCATGTGCTGTATCAAATCCACCTATACAAATTTTGCAAAGATAGAAAATTTGGGTAATCAGATTATTATAGACCATTAATTTCATTAGTTCTCAGGTTAAAAAAATTAATAAAAAAAATAATCTTGTTATAAATAGAGAAGATAAAATAAACTGACCTAAATAAACTTGTTTTCCACAATCCCTGAATTAGTAAAAAAGAATAAAAAAATCAGATTTTTTTTTCGTTTTTAATAATGGAAAGATTATTATATGAAGGATTGAGGTTGATTAAATATAGATATTGTTATACCATATGTGTGATTCCCACCGGCCGGTTCGCCGGTAAAAGGTGACGCCGCGGTACTGAGAGCTCCGGGACCTTGGCCCACGGCGGCTTTTCTTGAGAGGCTGCGAAACTTCCGCCGCAGACTTCCCCAGGACGCTATCGGTGTTTGGGTCAGACTGGCATAATTTCACCCCCATCCAGTGCGCCCTCGGAAAATTGGGTGCTGCTCCAGCTCCGGATGTAACGGTGGTTTCCGACTCGTCCACCGGAAAGAACTGCCTTGTCACCGGCGGCTCACTCCCCAACGAACATGGACCTATATCATCATCATCACCCTCACGTGACACAGAGAAACCAAAGATTTTGCTGCTTCTTTTCCTGTTCCCATCACCACCACTTCTCTCTGCATCATCTTCTTCCTCAGATAAACCATCCTCCATCGGGACCGGCGATGCTGAGCTCAAGTTCCACTCAGATCCGACCCTTTTACCCTTTTCACCTTCATCAATCCTTTGATCCGGTGAATAGTTCAGATTCCACATTTCTGTTTCTTTGAATGAAATTTGAACAGTTCAAGCCTTGTAGATAAGTGTTCAATTTAGAAAGAGAAAGTGGAGAGGGTAAATTTTCTGAATTCTGATCAACACTGTCTCATCAGAAGCAAAAAATTTCGGGGGCTACAAAAGGCTCAAGTAAAAAAAAAATGTTTGCTCTTGAAAGGACAGGAAATAAAAAAAGAACCCTATTCAACTAGATCTCTCTTGTTGCCTTGGTGATTTGGAGTTTCAATGGGATTTTGTTGTCTATAATCATATGTATAGGCGAAACATTAACTCTATATCTCTCTTGTTTCTCTCTCTAAGTTTTCTCAGCTTATTTCCATGGGTTGTATAAATAAAAACAATGGGAAGGGAGGAGAGAAAGAGAACAATTTTCTTCCTTCTTCAATTTTCCGACGTTAACCAAATCGAAAAGCATCAACCCAAGTCAATACCCTTTCTCTCTCCTCATTTTCATCCCTTCAACTAAGCTAATAATGGAAACAAACAGCACCCACACTCTTAACCTTGACTTATTTATCAATAACCTTAATTAGGCTAAGTTAATTATCATTTCGTTTTCATTCAGTCATTCATTCATTCACTCTCACGTCTCCTGTCATCTCCACCACACGCACTTCCACACAGTTTCACGCTCACAGCAATCGATATATTTTGATGCGGGTGAAAATGTAAATAACAATAAAATTTTGTCATCAGCCCACTATTTCATTTACATCAAGTTTGATATTGTATTTATTTAAAAAAAATTATGAACGGAAAAACTATTTTTTTGTAAATTGGCGAATGGTAGTTTGTCATGTGACATACTGCTAAATTTGGTGTACAATTTGGGTAAACTGTCCATACTGTGTACATCGAGCATATGGATAATAAAATGGATCTTTTTCGTAGCATGTAAAAAAGTTTTACTCGAATTTCTTTCGAATAAAAGTAAAAATAATGGAATTCATCAGAGAACGACAAAATTGTAGTGAATTGAGAAAAGCTTTCGGATTGTACTCGTTCGCGTAAATTAACACCCGAACTAAAAGTTAAGCTTATTTTTGTATATCTTTCTTATTTCTCCTATTTTTCAATATTGAGCCTCGATATGGTTCCTATTTTTTAAAATTCATTTTTAATGAAATATTTTATCTGATTCAAATCATACATTTCACAATTTTATTTATTTTTTAATCAAAATTTACAAAAAGTATATTTTTTTTGACAAAATCAAATAGGGGTCAACACGTTCTTTACTTCTACATATTTTAAAATATTTTATGGCCTTTTTTCGCATGTGTGGAAATTAGTATTTCAGACGTTTACTATTCTATATTTGGGTTCTATTTTAAAATGACAATATATTATAGTTTTCATGGTGTAAATTTTATCATTAAAATGACTTGAAAGATTGTAGTGCGTTTGATGAAAGACTAACCTAAATTCTCATATATTGATTAATATTTTTATATTTAAGTGATTTTTTTAATAACGATGTTGAGAGTAAACTACTATAAATTTATGTTTAATTTGCATTTCTTTTATCATTTTTTTCCTTAGTATTACTCTTGAGTATATATTTCATCTTAAACCACAACACGTACAAAATAACATATATAATATTTTAACTTTTCCTATATTTGATAGTGTACAATTCAGCACGTCAAACACGTATTATACATTAACCACAATAAAAATGAAAAAATGGAAAAATAATTAAAGTGAGGCTCTTTTCATTTTATTTGTGGAATTAGACAAGTTTGAAACATCCAAATCTCATACAATAATTTCTTATGTTGCTAACCTAAGGCGATTGACCTACCATTGTGATAAAACTCTTTATTTTTCACTTATTTTTAACTACAGATCCATACAATATAATATTCTACACGTAAATTTAAAATATTTTTTTCTACTTTTAACCATACATTTTTCAAAAAATCACCATGTAAAAATCATTTTCTTCTAATTTCTCTTTATAATGGTCATCTAACATAGGATAATAAGAAAAAACAAAATTAGGAAAAAGTAATGATACTTAGCCCTTGTTTAATGCACATTGAATGCATTTTTAAAATTATGTTATTTGTTCAGAAAATGAAATCTAGAAAGTGTGCCAAAAAATGATGTGCGGTGAAATGATTAGATAAAAATACTGACTTTGTTTTAAACAGTGTAACTCATTATGTAAGACTTGATGTGCATGTCGCAAAATCATCGTGTTTAACACGAGTCTAGGTGATAGAGTTACAAGTTCAATTAAATATAAAAAATTATGAACAATTTAATAGGATTTATGATGCGACATTTAGATAGATGTTCAAAAATACTTGTGTTATATAGTATTATCGATTGGAAAAGAGCCTGCATATGTACGTCAATTCGATTCTAATTTAATTATTTAGTTATTAACTTTTTATCTTCTTCGAATCTATCTTTATGATTAAGCCCTCGTTTGATAGGATTAAAATTAGATTTTAATAGATTTTGATAAAATATATGATTGAAAAATTATGGATCTTATAAAATATATGGTTAAAATTAATTGTTAATTTTGATTAAAATCTTGATTTTAATTTCTACCGAAATTGGTGAAATTCTCAAAGCAAAAAATGAGGAGAGGAGGGTAATTTAGGAAAAGAAGAGGTGGATTGAATGTGAGTTGAGGGGAAGGACACATTGGGGTCAGAAAAGGAAAATGGAATAATGGTGATAAAAGGAAAATCTTTCCACAAAAGTCTAATCCAAAAGTACGGGAAAAAGGGCCACCCGTTTCCTTCTTTACTACTTACAACCCTACCTCATATTCTATGCCCGCTCTCACCCTCTCCGCGCGTGTCTTTCATCGCAGATTATTTATAAAGATTTAGAATAAACAATCTCCGTACTATTTTGTAGAAGGTATCACTTGTGTATTCACGATAGTAAAACTTGCTTCTAATTATATTATTTTGATATCTTCTATTTGTATAGAAAATATGTTACTAAAATTAATACAGAAGACACTTGGTAGTTTTTGGTTGAACAATGAC